TAAAATCAATAAGTTCTAAACGCAACTTTTTTTAAGTTTACTCCTTTTTAACTTCCTCTTAACAGATACACATAAAAAAAAATCATTTTCAGTGATATGTTATGCTGATACTTAAGTACACCCATCAACACTATTGATCTCTATCTAGACAGACAAAAATATTTGCATTGCAATCTGAAATCCCCTTTCGTGGGAGTTAGCATCATTGAACTGGATGGGACTTACGGGACTTAGATGGGATTTTGAAGGCCTTGAGCAGATAACCGACACCCACACCTTCGTCTCTGTACACTTCTGCAGATAGTAGCCCCAAAGGGAGTCACCATTCAGATGTGAAGACCTATTACAAGATTGAAATAGATTCCTGATGCTCGGATTGTTCATCTTCTCAGGATGTGATTTCAATCAGAGGGGCAAGGGATGAATTGTTTGACAAGACTTCTGTTTTTTTTCTTCTTCTTCTTTCCCCTCCCTTCTCACTCACCAAATGCTAAAATGTAATACGCTTTACCCCCAGTCCTTCTTTGGCTATTACGGACTTTTAAGATGCAATGTGACCTTGGCCAGCTGAAGTGTGTTTGGTTAGCACAAAATGTTAATCATAAGAAGTCATAAGTAGGAGCCTTCTACTTTACTGTCCCCCCCCCATTCTTTTTCCCAGGGACTTGGAAATTTATGGTTGGGGGGACAGGTAGGATATGAGCAGCAGGCCAAATGGAGTGCAGGGTTATCTCATCTCTGTGAAAACGACTCTGGGAAATCGATGTGACCTCTGCTAGGCTGTCACCATATTCCCACCCTTGGCATCCTATTTGTCTTTTTGATCAGGAGCTGAGATCTGGAGGCTGTCTCCCTGGCTCTCTCTTGGGCCAGATTATCAAAATGAATCATGGCCTGCGTAGCTGTTATATTTCTATTTATTTTCCTGCTGTTGACTAGCTGGGGTGAAATATGATTTCTGTTTGCATTTGATCCTCACTGCAGCCAGTGGCACCTAATTTAGCCGTGTCTATCTCTTTAAAGAAGACGAATGCTACTTTGGAATTTCAATCTGCCCTACTTTAACATTACCAGCCATTGACTCTGCGCCTACCGTCAGCCGATACGAATTTTTGTATGGCCCATTTTCCTGGCGTTACTTTCTCCTTGCTTCTTGCTCAAGATTGCTAGGGTCTTTTAACACAGCATACTGCTCCAAATCCATTTCTTACAAGCTCTCTCTCTCTCTCTCTCTCTCTCTCTCTCTCTCTCTCTCTCTCTCTCTCTCTCTCTTTCTTTCTCTCTCTCTCTCTCTCTCTTTCTTTCTCTCTCTCTCTTTCTCTTTCTCTCTCTCTCTCTTCCTCTCCTCTCCCCTTTCTCTCTTGTTTTGCTGTTTTAGGGCTAAAGCACTTAAGACACTATCCATTTTTTTAATTATTTGTATGAAATATCTAAGTACATAATTATAGCCCAATAAGGGGAGACTGTTGTAGGATTGAATTTTTAAAAAGGAGTGAAGTAAGATTGATTTTTTTGAAAAGATAATAATAATTGGGAGGTCATGTAAAACAGAGTGGTTAAACCTTTATCTGAAATTACAAGAAGCAGAATTTTAACAACCCAAAATAATCTATTGTATTGTAGGCTGGCCACAGCTGCACATCTTTAATAATGATGCTCAGAACATGGACTAGCTTATATTCTTAATAAATCTTAAAGAGTAACATGGAACTACAAGTCCCAGCAACCCCTGCTAGCATGGCCAGTAATGCTGAGAGCTGAATCCAACAACATCTGGAGAGCTATAGGTTCTCCATCTCTTATCTGCCATGTGGCTGCAAACCATTGAGGAATGTCTTAAGAGCTTCATCGTTCACGAGGAGCATTATCACTTGCTCAATGTATATTTTATAGCCTAGTCATTTAAAGGCAAAACCCAACTCACATAATTTCACGGTTTCCTCTTAAATCAGGTTAGGACAGACCACCGAAGGATATAAAGAGTGAAGTTTCAAGCATTGAATTAAATGTTTTTGGAAGGTTTCCAAAAATGGGTGTTAGCGCCTGGCCTGCTTGAGCAATTGCTTTGGTTCCAATGATCTAGGAGAGGACTTCACAAAACATCTATCTTGAATCCTTATTTCATTTAATTTTACTTGCTGTCCAAGACTCCAAAATATGCTGAAGGGTCACTCTAGCCTGTATTTTTATTTCCCACATTGTCAAATAATACCCTGGAGGTCATTTATAGTGTCTAACGTCCTTTTCATTTCTCACACTACTTTTTTTAAAAAAAACCTTTTCACTATTATTAATCATTTAAAAATTGTTGGAATTCCTTGATGCTTAGCTGTGTTGCTCAAAAGGCATGCACCAACGGACTTCTAGTGAATTTAGGATTTGAGCTGGGTGTTATATAAATCAAATAAGTAAATAAAGAAAATATATGGCTCTGTTGGAGATAATGTAGGAGGCACGGTGGCTCAGTGGCTTAAAAGACAGCAGAGAAGGTCTGTGCTCCAGCAGTTCAAGTCCTGCTGCCACATGATGGGGCGAGCTCCCGTTCCTTGCCCCAGCTCCTGCCCAGCTAGCAGTTCAAAAGCATGCAAATGTAAGTAGATAAATACCATAATTTCTGGCATATAGGACGACTCGGCGTATAAGACGACCCCCGACTTCGGCGCCGATTTGAATGCTTTAAAAAGTCATCTTATACGCCGGAAAATACGGTAGGTACCATTTCAATGGGAAGGTAACAGCGTTACCATGCTTTGCCATACGCTCTGCACTGCGGTGTGATGTCAGGCTGGCCACATGATCACGGAAGTGTCTTCAGATAGTGCTAGCTCAGTGGCCTTGAAACAGAGATTAGCACTGACCTTTAAAGTCAGCTACGACTAGCGGAGTAAAACCTGGAGGGACTCCTTTATGTTTATTGGAGATAATGTTACTTGTATGTATAGATAGTCCTCGTTTAATGACCCACTCGAACAGCAACTTTTCGACACTATACAGTGGCACAGAAAAAGAGGTACTTTTGACCGATCCTTGAACTTCTCGCTATCCCAGCTCCCTTGCAGTCATATGATTGGGATGTGGCTGCTTGGCAGTTGGCAAATAGGCTCTTTACCTTGTAATAAAACTTTCTGGTTATTCCTGGGACATTTGAGAATTTGTTTCTAATTCCTCTTGTTGGCTCTTGTTTTTTTAAACTCAGTTTACTGTAGGAGCGGCACAGACAATTACAGTTACCGTTGTTTTCTTTGTCACACTTTTCCATTACTCTGCACTTCTCTGCAATCTACCCTTCTCAGTTGGAAAAAAAACCTCTGCGGAGGAGGTTGCTTCCTCAGGTTTTGGAATTTAATTAAACAATTGAAGCCCACGGAGCTACCCACCACCAATGTTACGATTATATATAATGAAAAGATTGGCCATTTGCACAGATTATTGACTACTTCATCGCAGGATAGGTGCACGGACTCTTTTGCATTCCACCCCAAAATCTCACTTCCTTTGAAAGAAATTTGGGCAGACAAATTCTCTTCTGTCTTAATTGGATGAGAACAGGTTGGGGAAAACAATGTAGGAGAAACTTGACATACGATGTGTGATAAATAGAGTCTTTGGATTTCTGTACAATCATTATTGGACAGGAAAATAGTTGTGACGTTTTGGTTTCTATGTAGGCATCAGTGAAGCCTCCGATTAGCCACTGTGAAGACAGAATACTGGAATAGATGGGTTTGGAGCAAAAGTCTTCTTACTTTTTCTGGTCTTAAATAGTTTTTTATTATTATTATTAAATCAGAAACTTTCCTTCTGAGTCTAATGCAAAAAGACTTGGGGGGAAAAATTTGGAACTCTGATTTTATATATGGTGATGGCAGCAAAACCGCTCTATGCACAAAAATGGAAAGACGCTTCGGTTCCCACACCCTGGACAAATGGCTACAAAAACTGATGGAATTAAGCAGAGATGGCAAAACTGACTGTTTTGATTAAAGAAAAGAATATAAGTACTTTTGTTTCTACTTGGAAACCGCTTCTGGACTTTGTGCTTGAGGTGGGGAAAAAAAAATGATACTATGATTTTGGGTTTTACTGATTAGACTGATTGGTTGATATAAAAATGGCTGGTTCATAATGAGCCGAGGTGGCGCAGCAGTTAGAGTGCAGTACTGCAGGCCACTTTAGCTGACTGTGTTCAGCAGGTCAGCGGTTCAAATCTCACCAGCTCAGGGTTGATTCAGCCTTCCATCCTTCCGGGGTAGGTAAAATGAGGACCCAGATTGTTGGGGGCAATGTAAATATATATATACATTGCTTACTGGTGTATACCGCTTAGAGAGTGCTTGCACTTAAAGCGGTATATAAGTCTCATAAATAAATAAATAAATACTACTATAGAAATGTAAAAAGTTGTGATTCGATCTTGATGCCTCATTTTACCGCAACAGGGGGAGTCGGAAGTCAACGCTTTTTGTTTCTTCTCCTGCCCGTCTCCATACTTTTTCATTTTCCCTTTCCCTCTTGTCGTTCTTTAATATTTGTATTTTCATATTTTATGTTATAAACGAATAAATTATATAAAAATAAATAAATAGCGATTTGAACTCATCGTTAATTCGTTCAGTTTATCTCCCCAACTTTCACTCAGAAACTTAAGGTGGGGTATACAGCACTCTCTTCTCCTATTTTTCTCCCAGCAAACAACACACTTGTAGGTTGGGCTGAGAGAGAGAGAGAGAGAGAGAGTGGCATTAAAGAAGTAAGATAAGACCCTGTGTCTTTCTGATGCCAGTCCCACTATCTTAATCACACTCTCCATCATCGTTTAGTGCTCCTCAAGGGATTCAATCAGGGCTCCTCCATCTTGGCCACTTTAAGCCTTGTGGACTTCAATCCCCATGTTGGCTGAGGAATTCTGGGAGTTGGACTCCACAAGTCTTAAAGTTGCTGAGGGTGGAGACCCCTGGATTAGATTGTTTATAACCTCTGTTTTGCTTCTTGTCTTACAGAAGAAGTCCAGATCGCCATCCCAATAATCAAACCAACCCTAGAAAAGGTCCAACTGGCTGGACAGACTTTGCCCCCTGGATTTCCAGCTCCATTCCTCTTTGCTGATGGTTTGTCTTCAGTGGAAACTCTGCTAACCAATATCCAGGTGAGGAAGTCCTGTGATTATTCTCTAACGCTATCTGGAAATGCACAAAGGAGAGAGAGAGTGAGCTGTGTTTAGGCTGATCTTCAGATCCTCCAAAAACATGGGATTTCAGAAACAGTCCGTGGTGGAATTCCTATAAATACCTCCAGTATGTCATCATATATATGGAAGCTCGGTGCCCAGTGTAAGTGTTTAGCATTGGCATAGATTGAGACAGATACTTTTGTAAACCTTTTAGGAAAATATAGAGATGAGCTTAGAATGGAAGAAGCATTAAAAGAGGTGAACTAGTAAATAATAAGCTATGGAAAAGTAGAAAATATGGGAGGAAAGTTTCAAACAACCTCACCTTGATTCTGTGTTTAGGAAGGAGCAGAAAGACACTCTGGTAGGTTTTCAGAATTCTGTGGTTATACTCAATAAAAATGAAATAGCGTTCCTGAAGTCTAGTTCTGTTTTCTGACCAGGTCTACCTCAAAGGGCTGACAGAATTCAACCTTGGTATAGATGACAAAGCTAGCTACTCCTGACAGTCCACAGGAGAAAAAGGCATATATTATGCACTGTGTGCATTTTCTGGAATGGTATAAAACTAATGGCTATGCTGGGCTGTGTTTGATGGGGGCACTAAATAGGAAAAGCCCCGCTTTATCTGATTACCTGTCATTCTAGCAGGTGATCCTTTGCTTTTTCAGCTATAAAATCAACCAAGGGATGGGCCGGAATGAAAAACAGGGCAAACAAAAAATAACTTTCTTTGCTAGGATATATATTTTCTCATCACCATCCTCCTCCTCCTCCTCCTCCTCCTCTAATTAAATGTTCTCATTGAGGGAGATTTCACCTTTGCCTGTTTTTTACAGGGGCTGCTGAAGGTCGCCGTAGATAACGCCCGAGTGCAGGAAAAGCAAATCCAGCAGGAGAAGAAGGAATTAAAGATGGAACTGTGCAGGGAAAGAGAATTGAGAGAGAACCTGGAACGGCAGCTGACAGCTGAGCTGCAAAGCAGAGGTAATCTGAGAGAGAGAAACATTGATGGGAGGAAATGTCTTACAGCATCTTCCTTGTCCTGTCTTTAGGGAAGTCTATCCCAACACCGATTCTCTGGAGAAGCAGGAGTCTTCAAACTTGGCGACTTTAAGACTCCCCAGAATTCTGGGAATTGACGTCCACAAGTCTTACAGTTAGTTGCCCATGTCAAGACTGATTTGCACTTATGCCTATGTTCTTCTTCTCTCGCAGCTTGACAGAGAAAAGGGAAGAGGTGGGATGGAATGCAAGGGGTGGGGGGAGCTGCATTTGACCATTGCCGGTTCCCGTCAGACAATGCTGTAAGCCAAGGATGCATCGAGCAGGTATCCTAGCGTGGCTCGCTGGTTTCCCATAACAAAATGAACAGAAGTGATTGGTGGACGTAATGGATTGTAGGTGGCCCATAGGGAAACGGGCGGAATTGACTATGCTAGCTTTTGCATGGGGGAACCCAGAGCTGATTGGAAACCCCTGTTCTTGAGGAACACAGGGCTGTAACTATGATGCTGGCTGAGAATTTAGAGAATTGAACTGGATTCCATCAGCAGCAATGAAGCCTCTGTGTAGCTTTGTTATCAATTCTGGGTGAAGTTTGGTTACCAACTTGGAGCGTTAGGAGAGGAGAAAGGCATCTGATGGAGCCAGTCTTGAAACTGAGAATGGTCTGTTGCTTTCCATGGGGCCTTTCGTTGTATTCAAGAACATTCTCCCATTCCCATTAGAACTATCGAAATAATCTTCAAATCCTATTCTGCTTGGTTCCAAAGTAAGGAATGGATGAGTAAATGTGGTTCTTCTGCTCATCCTTGGCAACAGAATGGCTCAAGTCCCTTCAGAGTACAGAAAGTCCTTGTCTTAAAACCATATTCATTCAGTGAAGTTACATCGCCACTGAAAAAAAGGGACTTATGGCCATTTTTCACATGACCGTGGAAGCATCCCTGTGGTCACCTGATTAAAAATTCAGAGGCTTGGCAATTAGCATGTACCTACGACGGTTGCAGTGTCCTGGGGTCATGTGATCCCCTTTTGAGACCTTCTGACAAACAAAGTCAATGGGGAAGCCAGATTTACTTAACAAACCATGTTACTAACTTAGCAACTGCAGTCATTCACTTAACAGCTGTGACAAGAAAGGTTTGCAAAACGAGGCAAAAGTCACTTAGCGACTGTCTCTCTTAGCAACATACATTTTGGACCGAGCTGCGGTCCTAAGTCGACGCCAACTTGCCTATAGCAGCACAGTCAGTGATGCTTGCAAAAGTCCACCAGAGGCCAAACTAAATTGTCCTTGAAGGTGTCCTTCAGATTTGGGGAGGGGGGGGGCTTCCTTTCCATAATGGCTCCGTTGGTCTTTCAGCCACAATTCAGAAGCGCTTGAAAAAGGAGAAGAAAGCGAAGAGGAAATTGCAAGAAGCTCTGGAGTTCGAATCAAAGAGGAGAGAGCAAGTGGAACAAGCACTGAAGCAGGCCACGACAGGGGATGGGCTCAGAATGCTGAACGGTAAAGGCTCTTCACGATCTCATTTAAGCAGCTGGGCGGGGGGCGGAGAGGCAGCTGAGTTAGAGTCAAAGCTGCCTCTCCGTGGGGGAATGGGGACACAAATCTTCCCATATGATTTCCTTCTGTGCCTGTCGTGGTTGAAATGTGACACTAGAACAGACAATGATAAGAATCTTACACTTGGCAGATGCTGGGATTCCAGAGATGGAAGTTGACCACAATGGGACCCAACACGAGAATGCAGCAATGCAAGGTATGGGGTCTTGCAAACTATATCATACACCAGTGGTGGCGAACCTATGGCACGGGTGCCAGAGGCGGCACTCGGAGCCCTCTCTGTGGACACACGTGCCGTTGCCCCAGCCTTGCCTCCCCCCAGAACCCCCTCCTCACCAGCAGCCCCCCTGGAGGAGAGTCGCCCCCGAGCGTGGCCCACACGGAGCAACGCAGCCAAGGACATGGCAGCCAGGCAGCCATGCCCTCATGCCCCATCACGCACAGTTGATGCTGTGGGGCGCGGGCAGAGGGCATGGCCGCCATGGCGCTGCTGGGCTATCTGGGCAATCTGCGGTGGGCCCTCGAGGTGGCGAGTGGCCCTGCGGGCAGGTGGGGTGGGGGTGAGGTAGGTGGGGCAGGGGGGTGGAGCGGGGGCAGGGCCAGTTTTTGGGCACTCGGTCTCTAAAAGGTTCGCCATCACTGTCATACACTATATTAGAGATTTGTCCATGTCACGTTGTGCAGGGACTCCAAATACAGTATGATAAATCCTCTTCTTTTGAATGTTTTCCGGTGAGACCGATCTATCGGGGCAGCCTGGTCTACCCCAAATACCCAAATATGGGACGGAACGTACTGCTTTTGCTTTTGAGCCCCAATCTAGGAGCCTTCACGGTATATAAGTCTAAGTGCTATTGCTATTGCTAGTCTGGTCACAGACCAAAAGAATTGAATTGAATTGAGCATGATCTTGCATTATTTCTCGTACAGGTAGTCTTGACTTACGACTGATCATTTAACACCCATTCGAAGTCATGACGCACTTCGGAAAAGAGCAACTTATGACCTAACCTCCAGGTTACAACAATGACTTAGCCATCCTTTGGATATCCAATGGCCAGTCAGATGCTAATCCAAAGGAAAGGTTTCTATGTAAACACTTGGGCTACTCCAGTGTCCATAATTCACTTGTAGCCATACTTGGGGACAGCAGCATCAGTTTGTTTTCCTCGACCAATCTCCGTCTCCCATAAAATAAACACACTGGGTGTCATTAAGTGTACCTGCAGATCAATGATTTTTGCAAATGACATTCAAGGACCGTTGTGAGCGCCGCATTTTTTTGCTGATAAAAGCAAATTAAATTAGCGCAACTCTTGAGCCGCTCTTGATAAAAACAGGGAAGCCAAAACAGCCGCGCCATTAGCTAACAAAGTAATATTTTCTCTTTACTGCTTTCTGCCATTTAGTTATTATCCTATTGGAAATCTAATTATAATCCTTTTACTCCCCAGTCAAACTTCACAGTTTTTGCAAGCTTAGCACTGACATGTGATTTCATTAGATTTGATTGCTTGTGCCCAGATTGACTTAACTTCAGTTGGAGACCTGAAAGGCTTCTTGCTTTCTCAGATTCCCTGTTTGCACATTAAGGCAACAGCTCCTTTAATTAATTAGCCTGAACTGCAGTAACATGAACTGCTGAACAGAAAATAACATCGTTTTATGATCGTGGGGAGATTTCTTCTGCTCCATGTGGATACCTTGGTTAACGCTGGTATCCATCGAGGAAGCAAATGATAGGTGCAAAGGAAGAGAAAGATAACTCCTGCATATTTTTCATCTTTTTTTTTTTAAAAAAAAAAAACCAAACAAGCTGATGTCGTTTTATAAGGCAAGTGCATGAGATATGTGAGAATGTGAAGGCGGGGTTGACCAGAGAGAAGCAACCTCGAACTTCAAGGAGAGTATCAACCTTGAACTAAAGAGAAACTTTCTGACAGTTCGAACAATCAATCAATGGAACAAAGCCGTGGGTGATCCAACACGGGAACTTTTTAAGAAGAGATTGGACAACCATCTGTCTGAAATGGTATAGGGCAGCGGTGGCGAACCTATAGCATGCGTGCCAGAGGTGGCACTCAGAGCCCTCTCTCTGGGCATGCATGCCATCACCCCACCCCAGCCCCGCCTCTCCCTGTGGCCCCCTCACCAGCAGCCCCCCTGGAGGAAAGTCGCCCCGGGTGTGGCCCATGTGGAACAGCGCAGCCAAGGACATGACAGCTGGGCAGCGGGGACAAGACTCCGCCCTCGCGCCCCGTCACATGCAAATGACGCTGCAGGGCATGGGCAGAGGGCGTGGCCACCATGGTGCTGCTGGGCCCCCTGGGCGATCTGCGGCAGGCCATGGAGACAGTGGGTGGCCCGCGAGGCGGGGACGGTGTGGGGACGGGGGGGGGAGGCACTCGGTCTCTAAAAGGTTCGCCATCACTGGTATAGGGTCTCTTGCTTGATCTGGGGGTTGGAACAGAAGACCTCAAGGTCTCTTCCAACTTGGTTAGTCTGTACAACTGAACTAATGGTAATTCCATTGTCCCAGGTAATTTTGAATGGCTGTTAAGTAGTTGGTCATAAGTCAAGGATTACCTGTATAACACACTGTCTTGCAAGTCCAGAATTGGGGATGCTTTCCTTATGCAGTGTTGGTTGAGGTGCTAAGCGAGACATGATCCTGAGGATTAAAAGTTCCCGTTTCCCACTCTGGTTCCAGTTTCCCTCTGGGACTCCAAATATGGAACGAAGAACCAACATCCCTATTCTGTGTTAATGACCACATCTGGGGGAGGGGGGGAGATACAATCCAAAATCCAAATATTATTAACGTAGGAGACTCGCCTCTGGGCAAGATGGACGGCGGAGAAGTCTAATACATAAATAAATAACAATAAAATAAATAAATTTGGCTTAAAGGCAAACAGGTGAGATCTTTCTTCAAGTTATGCAGCATAGTTATCTTTTTCCCTAAATGTCTTGCTTATTAAGGCAGTCATGCATTTCATGACAGGTTATAAAAGTCTATCATGCACTGGGGCCTCGTATGCATATTTTAGTGTTAGGGAATATCATTTACACCTTTTTATACTGTCAATATGATCTCTAGAGAATTGCACTCAGACTGCTGTAACCCCCCATTTTGCTCACCTTTGCCTAATTCCATTTTTAAAGGAGCAAGTGAATATTTGATTATGGCATAGACCTAAAACAGAACTGCATTTATGGCCCCAAAATTTATTTATAATCTTGCCTGTCTACAGGTTGACTTAAGACCATCTGTGTAATAACAATCCAGAATTACAAAGGTTCTTCCCCACTCTCCTGAATCATCCCATACTCCTTACCCATGGAAACATGGGGAAAAACATGATTTTTTCCATTTTTTCCCCAAACCATACCACTGGTTGAAAAGCCCTGGCTTAGAAGACCTCCAAGGTCCTTTTCCAACTCTGTTATATTATTAATTTTTGATCCATCTTATATTTTTTCCTTTTAACCAACTAGCACAGAAAAAGTTAGAGAAAAGATGTTGAGCAGATTTGGGGAAAAAGTTAAGATGATAATCATGTTCATGATCATGATGACGATCAATATTATTACTTAAACTTGTATGCTTCCCGATTTCCAAACAAAATACCGTTACATCACAGTATATGTTACATCAGCATGTCGTGCTCAAATGCAAATATAGATTATCTAGTTGGAGACAACGCCCTACTACTGATGCTGGCTAAGGGAGAACCTGGAGACCACCAAGTTATTTGACCCTATCCATTAACTGCCATTGCATCATTTTGCAGCTTCCTTGATCTCTCCTCTCCACATTTCTGATCTGGTGTAAAAAAAAAAAAAAAAAACTGGAAGAGTTCCATCATAACCTCTTGATATCAAAGCAAAGTCAGAGAAGCTGTAAACTACTAAGAAAAGTGATTATTCAGTGAAAACCAGAATGCTCTCCCATCCTTCTCAACCATTTCATATTTAAGGTAAATGCTGAAAAGCTCATCAAACCGTCCTTCTCCTTTGAAAGAAATATTGAAAAGAGTTTTTTGGCCCATCACATTGAATGATAGCGTTTAGGGGAAAAAAAATACAGCACAATGCTGAATGTTGTCACTTGAGAAGGAGAGAGAGAGAGAGAGAAAGACAAAGAGGTTGATCTTTGAACGCCAGCTTCTCCACAATTTGAGATGGGCACTGCTGTGTTGCAGATTCAGTTCTACTCAAGGAATTCTAAACTGCCAGGTTTTCTATCAACATGACATCCACGCAGCAGAAATGGATCTTCCCAAACATGGGACGTGAATAGCAAATCAAAGGAGTGGATAGAGAATATCTAAACTTTTTTTTTTTAATTACTAAGTGCCGTCAAAGCCCAGTTCTGTTCCCTTCTGCCATCCTTAGTTCCCAGGCTCCTGGACATTCCTGAGGCATTAATTTTGTCTGTGATATTTATTCATGTTTATGTTCAGGCTCCATATTTGATCATTGCTGTTCCGAGAGGGCAGGCCTTCTTTCAAACATGAAACATTCAATTCCTAATTAGCTGTTTCCTGTTTGTAATGGAGCGACGTGCTGGATGCGGGATTGAAATTCAGCTCCTGCCCTCATCTGTTTATCGTTCCAGATGTTTTTGTTTTAGCTAGGAGTTTACTTTGACAGCTCCCGTTAAATGATAAATCACTCATATTATAGCTGAAGTGCATTTCAAAATTGAAACATAACAAAAGTTGGCAATCGCTCCAAGGATATGTGTCGTTTAGCTGGTCCATATAGGTTGCGTCCTAGGGTAGATTTAGTATTGGCACATGCAAATCAAAAAGGCGAGATCAGCCAATCCTTGGCACGGGCTCGCTTAGCATGGTCATTTTTTACTGTGGTTTCAAAACTCAGTCATTAGTGGCTGGGGCTTTCAGTCTATTCTCATGCAAAAACAAGTGTAGAGTCTTTTGATTCTTTTATTGATTTTATTTTATTTTCCTTTGACCTTCAAAGCAATAGCTCTTAGACTTCTATACCGCTTCGTAGTGCTTTACAGCCCTCTCTAAGCGGTTTACAGAGTCAGTATATTGCCCCCACCAACCCGGGTCCTCAGTTTACTAACCCCAGAAGGACGGAAGGCTGAGTCAACCTTGAGCCTTGTCAGAATCGAACTACAGGCTGTGGGCAAAGTTAGCCTGCAATACTGCCTTCTAGTCACCAGGGCTCCTAATAGTACTAGCAATAGCACTTAGACTTATATACTGCTTTGTAGTGCTTTACATCCCTCTCTAAGCAGTTTACAGAGTCAGCCTATTGCCCCCAACAATCTAGGTCCTCATTTTACCGACCTTGGAAGGATGAAAGGCTGAGTCAACCGTGAGCCACTCAAGATCGAAGGAATTGAACTCCTGACAATATGAACCAGAGTTAGTCCACAATACTGCACTCTAACCGCTGCGCTACCACAGCTCTGTATTAACATTATATGCCCTATTCACGCATTACCACTTCAACAGTATCCAGTACTCCAGATTCTGGTTCCCATTTTGTTCAGCAGGAAATAAGTTAATAAACAAAACTTGCTTTGGCATTTGAGTGATTTAAGACTGTAGATGTAGACACTCAAGATCCCGTTCATCTTCCCTGGGGAGTTAGCAGAGAAGCTTACAGGCATGTTGAGATAGTATTGTGCCTCTCAGGGGTAAATCTGGAGTCATTGCTGCTTTTCCGTTCGCTTAATTAAAACACGAGCACAAGGAGGGACTGGCTTTTATGGGTCAACTAGCGCCATTGGAATGAAGAAGAAATACTTGCTCTTCTAATCAGTGGCTGGCCATAAGGGATGAACGTAAGATCAGGTTGAGTTCCTTGCAACAGATAAACACCTACGTGCACCTTCAGTCAGAGGGAATTCAGTCTGGTGGACTTCAACTCCTGTGTTGAAAAATGGCTGAACCATCACTGAGAAATGTGGAGACCCGCAAGCTTTGCCATCCCAACCCTTTGCAATGAGGTTATGACACGTGTGTTGTCATTTTGATGGCATCGTGGTTTGTTGTGGTACAGCATATTATAAATAAATAAATAAATAAATATTTATTTATTTATTTACTTACTTAGGGTATGATGAATAAGAAGAGAAGCAAACATATACACCCAATCCACGTGATCATATACAAAACTTCTATGGGGCTGTGGCAGTGGCCTCATAACTGGATGTCCAGTTCATCTCTCCAGGGGATCACCTCTGCAGATCTTCTGAGGAGCCAGAGAACACACATCCTGGGGAAATCTTACACAATATGTTTTCATAGTTTGCATATCAGCACCACAATCACAACAAAGGGAATCTTTCCACCTCCACTGATACAGGGCAGAAACACTTCTTCCAGTATCACACCTAATTCTGTTCAATTTCCTCCAAAACCAGGTGGTTTGGTAGAGGGATCACTAATGGTCAGGCTGCAAGAAGATACCTTAGATCATTCCTGTCTCCAGGCATTCTTGCATTTAAACTAGGTAGATATTAAACTAGGTAGAACAACTGTTTTTCCAAGCTAGCCTATGGAATTTCAATCGTGTGACGGCCGGCGCATGGTCCTGGTGAATAGGGAGGGCCTTGTTGTTCAGCATCCCTGACCAAATGAGAGCTTGTTGTCTTCTAATGTGGGATTGCCATGGTGTATTTACCACATTGTGCTCTAAATCAGGCTTCAAAGAGGCACACCAGACTGTACAGGTACTCCTCAACTTACAACAGTTCATTTCGTGACCGTTCAAAGTTACAACGGCACTGGAAGAAGTGACTTGTGACCGTTTTTCACACTTACAACCTTTGCAGCATCCCCCATGATCAAAATTCAGATCTTCGCAACTGATTCATATTTATGACGGTTGCAGCGTCCTGTGGGTCACGTGATCCACCTTTTGCGACCTTCTCTCAAGCAGAGTCAATGGAGAAGCTGGATTCACTTAACAACCGTGTTCCTAACTTAACAACTGCAGGGATTCACTTGACAACTGTGGCAGGAAAGGACGTAAAACGGGGCAAAACTCACGTAGCAAGAGAAATTTTAGGCTCAGGGGTTATTAGCCTCGATACTGTCTCTTGTGCATGTGGTCTTCCTAAAAACAAACTTCCGTTCCAGCTTTCCAGAACCTCAGATAAAGACCGTGGAATGGCAATATCCTTTTCTCTTTTCTTTTCCAGAAAACAGAGCCTACATCAAACCAACCATTATGTATTGAAGATGCCTGACATGGCATGTTTGTGTGTGGGGAGGGGTGGGGGACATGTAACAGTCGCTTCTGAAGATGATAAAAAAAAAACCTCCTGCAAAGAAGTCTCTTTCAAAACCTTGATCAACCTTCCGTGCAGTGTGAAGACACAGTCTGGTAACGTTGCAATACGGGCCCTTTAATCCGGGACTCTGCAGCTCCTGTGTGGAAAAATGGCTGACCCGTCACGGAGAAGTGTGGAGACTCGCAAGCTTTGCCATCCCAAACTTTTTGCAGCAGAACATTTTTAAGTCGTAGAAAAAAAACAGAACGGGGAAGAATCAGTTTTAGCATATTTTAAGCACATATAGGTATGATTCCCTGGAAGATGGCCTCTGTAGGAGGAGCTAGAGGGGGGACAATGGTGACACCTCTGTTATGATGTCATCATGCAAATGGCCTGCGTCCTCACGATGTCATTACGTAGTCACACCGGTTTTGCAATGAGGCTATGACACGTGTGTTGTCATTTTGATGGCATCATGGTTTGTTACGGTGCTGCAGCCCCTCCCTCCGCCCCCCACAAGCATTACCACAACCTTCCCCGACTTGGCACCTTCCAAATGCGTCGGGACTACATATCCCAAAAACTCAATGGAGTATATGTGAAATGAACCAGGTTGAGGATGGGTGTACAACTGTTTAACAATGGCACAATTAATTTAATAAGCTGCAGTGGTTCTTTCTGGCTGTATAATCTACATGTCCAGTTTTATCACTAAAACAGTTCACCTCAGAACTGTTTCAGTTGTGTTTATAAATTTAAGCTTTGTTTACTGAAGCTGAAAACTCAAATATATATTACGTTTTGAAGAGAAAAGTATGTACATTTTTTTAATATGATAATGTAAAAAATTGTCCTTCCTTGGATGACCAACTGAAAAGTGTGAACTAAACTCCAATATTCAATGTAACAAGGGGATTATAAAACTGATGCTTTTTTAAGAAAAAAAAAATAACTCGGTTCTTGGTCTTTTCACACCAGGGGACAAGGGAAGGATGAACATATGGTAGGATGTTAGATAATGGAAACTTTAAAATATAGTTTCTCTGTTGTATCATATTAAGTTAAAAGTACACATTCTTTGTTAAAATGTTCTTGCTAAAAAAAACTACAGTATTAAAACATTTTTGTTTGACTTTGGAAATGGCTTCATTTTTTTTAATCATGCTTTTTAATGCTGGGTTATTGGTTACTAGATATTCATTTTACATTTTCGAGCAAATCAACTGAATCTACTTTTCAACACACCCAGTGAAACATAGTAATTTTTTGATCTGCTCAGAAAATCAAAGTTTTAAATGCCTTGCATAATTTTTCGAAGTATTTTTATAAAAAATACTTCGAAAAATTATGCAAGGCATTTAAAACTTTGATTTAACAGACTCTTCAGGGGGAGGATGTCCATTAAATCTAAAAGTCTGTTCTATCCAAATCTACATCATCCATAATATACATCAGTCCGTTTGCATAATTACATCATATAGAATTTAGTTAACAATATTAGATTTATACCCCACATGTTAGATCTCAAACACCTGTCGGAGATGACCAAGCTGAGCTGGAAGGAGGGGTCAAATATGGCCTCAGTCATGAGTCCCTGAGCCCCCTCAAGAGATCTAAACCCAGCCCACCTTGAATGCCTTTCCTATCTCCCGCTCATTTCCCTTGACTGTTAGTTGGCCAGATTCTTATAGAGAGCCTAAGCTTGCCGTCGATCTTTATACACATTTGAACTGCCTGAATCTCCTGATATATCTGGTGCTTGACATTGCCTTCCTTAATGGTGGAGCCAATACCCCACTTAAAAATAGGATGTGACTTTTGTCTCTCCTCTGAAAAGCATGAAGTCCAATGCACATCATAGCTTTAATTTTTGAAAACTCCCAAGAAGAGTTAATAAAACCAATATTTTTTAAATTGAACAACTCATTTCAAAATCCAACCCATACTGCAGAGCAAATGTGATTGTTTTGAAAGATAAGTCATCTTAGCATTTTTCTCCTCCTCAAAGCCCAAGCTACTACATTTGTATTAGCTGGGTGAACACTTTATTGATTTCCTCATTTGCCCTTGCAAGAATAGTTTTAAATGTCAAAGCACTGGTAAATGAGATTTAAGGAATCAAGAAACTCCAGAGAAGGAATCTGTTGTAAAGTTATTAGCTAGTGCCAGATAAATATTGACTAAGCAAATCAGACTTTCATATCTCAAGCCGGTGTGATGTGTATGTTGGTAAATGTCAAATTTGAAGAATTTGTAGAAATTTGTTGAAGAAATGTCTAATTTAAGAATCCTGGCTAGCTGATATGGGTCTAAATAATATCCAACCAAGTTACAACATTCAAATATCTAGAAGTGGGCTTCCAGGCATCTGGCAGCTTCACCACTTATAGAAACCATACTGTATTATGCAGAACCTTCACAGTCAATTCCATAACCATGAACGTTCTGCACAGTACAGTATGGTTCCATCAAACATCTGGTGCTTTTTTTTCATCCCAGAAGGTAGAAAAAAACCTACTCAGCCAGAGTAATTCCTCAATTATCATATGGTGCCCAGGTAGAACTATGCCATAATGGTGTCCCTTTAGAGACAGTTCAGTCTAAATTCTTATGGAAAATATTCCAGCTCCTTAGAAGCTCCCAGATAACTCAGAAGTTGAGAAGAAAAGCTGCACTGCTAAAAAATAAAGACAATTATGAGCCCAGCCTTTCTGCTTTTTGGTTTTAAAAATATGTTTTACCAGGTTGGCTGATTCAACATGCACTAAGGCAATAATTCCATCACACATTGGAGAGTAATAATGGAAAGCAAACTCCATTAATTAGGATTGTCTTGGGAAACACTACACATGCTAACCTATAATCAGGCAGACAGAAAGATAAACTCACATATATTACATGCAGAATGACAAAATAGCTCAGCCTCCTTACCTAAGCATCTTCTCTTAAGCAGCTCTCTGCCCGTTTGTGGAAACCAGAAAGTTACCTTAATTATAAAACAATGCCTAAATGTCAATGGTTCCTCACCCTGGCCAGCTGTGACGCTCTGTCTACTGAAAGAGAAATACAGAAGAGTTCATTATAGTTACAAATTATGTCCCTGTAGTTCAAACCTAGTGGGATCTATAAGCCATGTTTTATTAGACTGCTTCTTCTACAGAGATCTTAGGAGCAGCTACATAGCTCGCCTTTTAATGGACTTCCTAACTTGTATGGACCTTTAAAATATATATATATATATATATATATATATATATATATATATATATATATATATTTTCAACTATTGCTGGCTGATCAGTAGAATCTTAACATCTCTGGCAGTGGCCAGATCTGTTTTTCTGCCTTTAAAATTAGAAGCCAAGTTCTGATCTGGAAAGAGAAATACTCTGCCCCTGAATTTTTTTTTTAAAAAAAAATAACTGCTTTCTTTTATTGTATGTTTCTTTTAGTCAACCTTTAAACGACAAGAACATAGCTTTTCTATTATTTTTCTGGGTAGGATAAATTGATTTTTTTAAAAAAGATGTGCAATACATAGAATCAGGCTGATCTGAGTTAAAACCCGATCCTGTATCTCCAGAAACCTAGGAAAAGTTAAGGGCCCACCTGTTGCACTGTTGGCATTGTTAACATGTGAATGAACATCATAGGCTCCTATAGCGTAACTTTATCACGATCACACTTCTCCAGGTTCTAGATCAGGGGTCCCCAACCATGGACTGGTACCAGGGCACGGCATGCCAGCAACCGGTCCATACAAACAAGGAAAGCCCCATCCGTGGGATGCAGGCAGCATACAAAACTACACACCCTCCAGTCCGCGGAAAAACCTCTCTCCACAGAACCAGTCCCTGTTGCCCAAAAGATTGGGGAACTCTGTTCTAGACCAGTCCTCCAAATATTACCAGCTATATTACCAGCTGTCTATTTGCTCCTTCAGCTTTCAATCATAGCTGATTACTTAGATGTAGCAAGGGCAAGTTCCTTGCACGTTCAATAATGCCTTTTGGTGATCTCATAATGCAGGGGTCTATAACCCCCAGTCTGTGGCCCAGTACCAGGCCCCAGCCCATTTGGAACAGGACCACGCAGCAACGGGCGAGTGCTTGAAGTTCCGTTTGTGCAAGAGGTGGGTGCACATGCAAAAACATCCTCTCTCCCTCCCCCCCCCCTCGCTGCTGCCATTGCCGGTCTGCGGAGCCAAAAAAGTTGGGGACTACTGCCTTAATGTCCATCTCTTAACTAGTTTTGGCTCTGGAATCATTACTACAGGAATTGCACTTGATTGATTCTTTAATGACAAGTTTCAATGGAGATGGTATTAAACGAATTAAAATATGCCAAAAGCAGCAACATCAACACATTGTCAACCCTGATTCAGCAACATGTACTTCAATTATTATTATTTTTTTGCTAGATGGATAGTGAAATGATTCGGTGCCATCAAGTCATCGTCAATGCTTAGCAACCACATAGATCTTCTCGGTGACATCTGTCCATAATCTGTTATTTCAAGTCTCTCCCAACAGGGTTCTTCTGCTGCCCCGAAACGGAGTCCATCCTCCTTGCTGTGGGTCATCCTCTTCTTCCTTCTCCTTCCATCTTTCCCAGCTTTCTACAGAGAGCTAGGCCTTGACATAATCTGTCTGACGTAGGATGATCTGAGCTTGGTCATTTGTGCTGGAATCAAAGGGGACATGGCACAGAGGCTTAATGACATCGTTCCCATCACTCAATCTCTAGCTCAGTGATGGCGAACCTTTCAGAGACCGAGTGCTCAAAAACTATCCCGTCCCACCTCCGCTCTGCCCCCCCATCCCCCGCCCTGCCTGCCCACAGGACCACTCACTGCCTCCAGGGCCCGCCGCAGATCGCCCAGGCAGCCCAGCAGCGCTGTGGTGGCCACACCCTCTGCCCGTGTCCTGCAGCATCAACTGCATGATGGGTTGTGAGGGCAGAGTCTTGTCTATGCTGTCTGGCTGCGCTGCTCTGTGTGGGCCATGCTCGAGGGCAACGCTCCTTCAGGGGGGCTGCTGGAGAGGAGGGGGTCGCGGGGGAGGCAAGGCTGGGGCAACGGCACATGTGCCCACAGAGAGGGCTCCGGGTGCCACCTCTGGCACCCGTGCCATAGGTTCGCCACCACTGTCCTAGCTCCTGCCCACCCAGCATTTCGAAAGCAGGCAATATTGCAAGTAGATAAATGGGTATCACTTTGGTGGGGAAAAACCTAGCTACATTTGTGTGTGCGGAGAGCAGAAGCCAGCGCTGGATCTAGCCAGACACAAGGCATCGCACCACAATGCGAGGGAAGCTCATCAGAGGAGCTTGGAAGACCCAGCAATCAGAGTGCCACTAGCTAATTGGTGTAAAGTTATAGTTTTCCCTCTGCAGTGCACCAAGGAGAGGCATGCCAGCACTGAACAGAATGAACTAGCATTCTAGGCTGGTCAGACCTGCATCGTGTTGAGCCTGTGTAGATTCCTCTGACATGGCATGCCATATGCTAAATAATAATGTGCTGGAATGACACTCAAAATGCTGAGAAAAATGCCATCTTGAAGAAGAAACTAAACTGTATGTTCTTGCATTCTTATTAGCTTCTGCTTGCACTAATTTAATAACAAAACTACAAATCATAGTAACGTTTAATCAAGAACTGCACTACTTCTAGCTGTCAAGTTACCTTTTGTCCCAAACCATTTAAACAAAGCTCACGTCCTGTTTATTAATGCGCTGAGGGTTAGGCTAAATACACTTGAAAGTCATAAGGAGCTATAAAGGTCAGGAACTGGCACAGAAGAAAGATCAATTTGCTAGTATCCAAATTACCAGCAAGCCAAATGACCCATAACTGGTCTCCTATTACTATTATTACAAATGGTAACACGATGCAACGGAACATCACCTGATACAATCTTGAAAGTAGGAGATCCACTGAGCAGCAGATTACAAAAGAAGAAAAATAAGGTTGATGTTCAGGCTGTTGACCTTTCTCCACATCCTTGCCAGGTCCATCATACCCACGTTGGTTATTTGCCCCATTTGTTTATGCACAAATCTACATTTTGCTTTCCACTTGAACCAACTGGAGGAGTTGAGTTTTTAAAAAGAAAGCCCTATGTGCCTTTTGCAATCATA